CGGCAGCTGCCCCTCTTTGGTGCATGTCCCTACCTGCTGTGAATACCGGGAATAGCAGCGGAGCTGGCTGCAGGGCTGGGCGGACAAGCCCCTGCACACCCACACAACCACCACACACCTTCGCAGGCGTCTCGCCTGTCTTCACACCTCCCTGGCTGCCTCTGATCTGGAGAAGAGTGTTTGCACCCTGTGGGCACACCATAGCATGTCCCCCCAGCGCCCTGGTGCCTCTGGGGCTTGATTGCGGGTTCAACAGGCTCCCCTCCCTGTGATGATCCCACACAGGGCCCCAGCAGTGACAAACAAGGGGCATGGGGAAGCACCCACACATCCCAGAGACTGAACCTCATCAGGGTCCCTGCAGAGCTGTGTGGTGCAGGGGACATCATCTGGGATGCTGCCAGATGGGGTGCTGCTGACCTGGGCCCCAGGCAGCCCTGGGCAGGGTCCCCTTTGGGGACAGAACCCAGCAGGGGGCTTGGGATGGGCTGGCAGCACCCCAGTGGTGCTGAGCTCCATGCTGTGCCAGCACATGGGGAGCATCTCTTAGAGAAGCTCCTTCCTCCCAAGGTTGAATATGAGTCAGGTTTTGGAGCGACTTTAATTACTACTGGATCGATGAGCTCAGCATAGACCAGAAAATCCAACTGCAGCCCTGGGGGCCTGTGGGCTCAGCCCCCCCACTGCCTACTTGCCCCTGGGGAGGCAGGTGCTGCGAGTGCTCCCCAGTGCCTGCCCAGCACCCAGCCCCAGGATGTGGGACCCCATCCTGCACGTGTAGACAGCACCCCACTTGCTCAGAGCTATTAGGGGACATTCATCCCACAGGCAGGGTGACAGATGGAGATGCCCACCCTTGCGGGACACGGCCAGTGCTGGCTGGGTGACCCCACACATCTCTTAGTGCCTTTCCTTGCCCAATGCACAGAGCAGGTCTGTGGCACCCAAACCCACCCTGCACCTGAGGGACAATCCCAAGAAACCCCAGGAGGGCAGAGCTGCCCTGGCAGCATGTGAGCAGTCCCTCTCATGCCCAGGAAGAGTCAGGGGCACTCGCCACCCACTCTGTATCCCCCACTGCCTGCTCCCTCCTTTCCTGAGCCACCCTGCCTTGGCCAGGCACTGCATAAATAGCTGTTTGTGTCTCCGCTGGCCCTTGCGTGGGAAATAATATTGGCTGATGGAACATAATGCCCTGCTTCACATGTTCAATTTTATCATTTTCTGAGGCAGGCAATCTTCGTTTAAAGCTGAATGGGCTGGGGAATGTTAATGAAGCGCCGGCACTGCTCTGCACTGCGCTTTATCTCTTGGAGAATAATTTGGGTGAGCTCGGAAATAGAGTTCCCAGTCCCAATTCAAGCGGCGGCAGCACCGTGTGCTGATAAAAGTGTAATTCCTGGCCAGCGCATGGCCTTGAATACATGACAACTTAACCCTTAGGGCCCCGCTGGGATGGTGCTGCCTGCAACTGCCTGCAGTGGGCCCAGCTGTCCTGTGTGCCCAGTGCCGGCCCTGGAATTCAGCTGGGCAGGATGGGATCTATCACTCCTGCTCACCTGGGCCATGGAGCAAGGCATGTAGCTCGGGGAGGAGAGGTAAGAGAGCAGGAGCAGAGCCAGAGGAAATCAGTGTCTCTGGACAGAGAGGACTGCACAGGCAGATCTGCAGCAGCACCAGCCCAGAGGGTGCCCAGTGTTAAGGGCTCTGCCAGGAGAAGCATGCTCGAGGTCCAGGGATGCCCAGGCACTGCGTTTAGGGAAGAATGAAGGGTAGGGGAGCCTGGGAATGGGCTAGGGGCTCAGGCAGCAGGCTGTAGGGAGAGGGCAAGGGAGCAGCCTCATGTGTGAGCATACAATTCTGGAGAGAGGGGCAGAGCAGGGCAGGTGCTCATGGGCTGAGGGCACGTGCCTTCCTGGATGGCTGAGTGAGGGGCTACCCCAGGAAGGGCCCCGGGCATAGACTGAGGGGTCTGAGATGAATTTGCAGGAGGTGTTTTCAGGTCTGGAAAAGGAGAAATGTAGGTTAGCAGAAGCAGTCAGCTTGTACTTCAAGGAGCAAGCCTTCAGTGGTCTGCCTGGTCCTGTTCTGAGCCCAGACACAGGGCTGGCTCCATCTCCCACCAGCCATGCTCTGGCAGTGTGTCCCTGCACAGAGGGCCCTGGGGTTCTGCCCTCCCAAACATCTGTGCAGCTACCTTGAGTTCCAGACTCACCAGACAGCTGCATCGGGGGTGGTACAGCACCCTCTGAGTGATGGTGTCTATGTCCGGGGCCATCCCACCCCTGAAGAAGCTGGCCAGGGGATGCCTTGTTCCAGCAAGGGGTCAGCAGAGCCCCTCAGATGCCAGCCTGGGTCACCTCCAGTGGGACAATGAGTGGGTGCTAGGATGGTCCCTCCCCTGGGAATGAGTACAAGGGGCAGTTTTCCAGCGCCATTAATCAGGGCTGCAAGAGCTGGGATTAATGTACACTCCAAGGCTCTCCAGTCCCAGCTGTGCTCCAGCCCTTTGCTCTCAGCTAGAGCCGCCTCCACGCACTGAATTATCAGCCTGAGTAATTAAGTGGAGAGCTTTGTTTTAATGCAGACATCTGATGCCTTCACACCGAGGAGCACAACAACTGTCGCGGGTGTTTATGCTCCGTGCAACACATCTGGCTCACAGGGAGAAAATCCATCTCTGCCGCTGTGTGAGATGAAAGGGAACGCAGCCCGGCTGAGGAGAGGGGAGGAATGGGCTCTGCAGCTAGCGTGGTGGGCAGGAGTTTCCCCCCAGCATCACCTCGATGGCTCCTCAAACCCTGCTGGCAGAAACCTGTGGTCCAGGGCTGCCTGGCAAAGAACGTATCCTCTCCGCTCCTGAGCGCAAAAGGCAGCACGACGTGCTGCGAGATGAGGGATAATTACGGGCTGGGAGATAAATGGAAATAGGGCAAAATAAAACATGGGTTTATCGACTGTAGATAGTGCCTGGCTCACCTGATACCTGCTGCTGATAAGGGAGATGGTCGTTTGGGGAAGGAGGGATGCAGATCTCAAACCAGCCACTGTGCCACACAGGAAATCGTTGCCTTGCACAGATTAGGGGATTAGCACGAGTGCAACGAGCTGGAAAGAGGCTAGTGCAGGAAGGAGCCAGGGGAGAGAGGAGACACTGGGAAGGGGAGGAGCTGCTGTTGGAACTGCTGTGGATGTGCCTCTATCACCCCAAAAGTGGGGAGCATGGGTTGATCCGCTGTTGCCACAACACACAGACCTTTCCTCTCTGCTTGCCCCCCAAACCACTGGTGCTTTGCTTATCACATTCACTTGGGATGTCTGACTGGTCTCATGGATATATAGTGCCTTTCTTTCAAGGTAGCTTGGCTGGCTGGGCACTGGGGTGAGCTGTGCCTTTGTGAGCCCTTTCTCCATTGGCTTCCCTTGGCACCTCACAGCTTCTGGGAACCCCATCACTTTGTGGGTGCTGACAGCAGCAGGACTTCCTTGCTCATTACAGCAGTGTTTCCATGGGAGCCTGCCATCACCTCCAGTGACTCCAGCCCCTGGCCCCTGGGCACAACCAGGACAGGAGAAGGGGCTGTTGGGGATGAGAGGAACTCTTAAAGTGCCTGTAGAGTAACTTTTTAAAGTACATGTGGTAATAGTACAAGGGATAATGAT